GCAAGTAAACCGGGAGATTAAATCAATGTATATAAGTGAGGGAAGTAACTGGACTGAGAAGTGTTAGCTGAGGGGTAGAGAGAAAAGAAGCAGCAGAATTCAAATCTGGTGCTGCTTTTGAAGAACCTCTTAGTATAAATAAAACTCCATTTTAAAAACTGCAAAAATGCACATTCTTTTATCCTAGGGTTAACAAGTCTGCACATAATATAGTTGAAGCCCCCCACATTGTATGGAAAATACCGATCAGTGTGCAAACACCCCCTTGGTTCACCTGTAGCACCGTGATTCATTTGACTTTTCAAAAGCATTTTGTAAATAAAACCTAGAAGTATTGTCACACTTCAAAGCTTCATCACCCAACAATACTTTTATTTCCAAGAATTCCAGCAGCTCCCACGCAAAATTCACAGGCATGCTTGTACACGTGAAGACGAGGAACGTGGAACTATAGTCATTTAAAAATTATATTTCTGTAGATGGTGATTTTGGGTAAAACTGGATCTTAGCAATAGCATTAGCAATGGCATTTAGGCTTACATATCATCCTATAGCGCTTTACAGCACTCAGGGCTGTTTAACAATGTCGATGCGTTATTTGCGCATTGCCTCCAACCACCTGGGTCCTCATTTTACCAACCTCAGAAGGATTGAAGGCTGAGTCAACCTTGAGCCCCATGAGGATCGAACTCTAGGTTGTAGGCTGTGGGCTGTGACTTTGCCTGCAATACTGCGCTTAACCATCGCACCACCAGGAATCTTGGCCTACTATTTGCTACATTCCCTTTTGTAGGATAGAGTTCATTACTGTTGTTATCATTTTTATTGTCTTTATTGTTTATCATCCTTATTATCATCATCTGTCAGTCCTCCTGTTTGCCCACTTATCAGTCTGCCCATCTGTAAATCCATTTTTCTGATGGGCAGGTTGACTGACAGACTGACTGATGGACAGACGACTGATCTATCTTCCTTCCTTCCTTCCTTTCCTCCCTTCCTTCCTTCCCCACATTTTTGGCTGAGTCCAGACATCACGCTTAAGCTTACTTTATTTCATTTGAACTTTCTCAAGTATATTGTGTGAATCCAGACCAACATGGTGTATGCAATGCCACTGATTTATGTAAACTAAGGTTTACGCAGGTGTGTAAACCCAGCCTTCACGTACCCCTTCACTTTTGTTATTTGTTTGTTAAATCCCAGTACTTCTCATGTCTTACAGCCTTTTCTCTGACATTAAAAAGAGGAACAGTTGTGTTTATTATTCCAGCCTTTTATGCCATCACATGCCACGAAAGCTGACATTTTGTCAAGACGTGGTTATATAAACTCCTGGATATGGAGGAAGGAGTGTGCGTGGGTGGGGGGGGGAGAGAGCAGACTTGTGCTCCAGTTGATTATTGCAGGTGTCTTTCCAGGGGTTTCGCTGTATCACAGCTTCTCTCCGCTCTCCTGTTGTTCAGCTGGGCAACATGACTCTCTAAATGTCATCTGAAAAAGTGCCACAGACATCCTTCAGTGTTCTCACTCTGCAAATTGGGGCGATGTTTCTTGGGGAGGTTGATTAAACCACTGTAGAATGTGGCTGTCATCAAATTGGGAAAAACTGGAAGAGGTGGTTTTAAAATGTACTTTTTAAAGGAGGGTGAAGACACATTGAGGCACCCTGGTAGAGATTGCCCAAGGAAGCAAACATCAAGTTTGTCTTAAACAGGAGTTTCCTATATTAGTGGTGTTTTCTTATACAAATGAATAGCAATAGACTTATATACCGCTTCATAGTGCTTTACAGCACGTTCTGGGCGGTTTACAATGTCAGCAGTCTGGGTCATCATTTTACCCACCTTGGAAGGATGGAAGGCTGAGTCAACCTTGAGCTGGTCAGGATTGAACTCCTGGCAGTGGGCAGATTGAGCCCGAAGTATTGCATTCTAACCACTGAGTCACCACGCTTGCAGAATTCAGAAGAGGAACACACCCCATTCTCCTGTCCAGCTTCATTTTTTCCTCCTCCTTGCAAGGTAAGTTACACCAAGTCAACCAGGAACCTCCAGAGACGTTTTTTTTTTAAAAAAAAAAAACCCAAACAGATGTGAAGGTTCCTGGTTGATTTTTGGAGGGTTGACGGACACCTTCACTGCTCCTTCTGTAGCTCCTCAAAAATAAGCTTGACAGGGTTCCATAACTGCCTTTTCTTCCAACTTCAAGAGCTAACAAGGAGTGACAATTCCTGCCCCACTCAAGCTACCCCAGGTCCCAAAGCAACAAAAATCTGATCCCTCCAATTCCACATAAAAATGGGGGGAAAAGACCCCCACAACTCTGAAGAAAAGAAGGAGGCAGCCCACAGTTTAGAGTGTCCCCTAAGGAAAACTGATATTCGCAATTCTGAAAGATGTTGTGTGCAGCAGTATATAAATAATATACTGATTAGAATAGAATACCGATTATATACTGACTGGTCTATAATATACCAATATATGATATAAATGATGCAAGTTGGAGGGAAAAGTCCTGGCCCAAAACATTTAAATATGAACAGGATAAAAATAAAACATCATCTTGTTTCAAAACTGGCCCTGCAAATCCCAAGAAAGGCTCCCACCCCCCACCCCCCGCAAATTCCTGCTTTTCTATCTTACTCTTAAGAGTATTTTTTCCTGGGTTTATTTTGGCTTCCGGCATTACTTTATTGTTAAAACTGGCACTTGAAGTTTCTGCTGCTGGTGTTTTTTGTGTTCTATCCTTCCATCATTCTGCAGTTCGCACACCGGGAATTTAATGCCATCCTTTAAACATCTTTTTTAAAGCCAGAGGGAATGCTGAACTTCAAGAGATGTTCATGTAATCATCTGCCAGCTCCTTTGACCATTTCAACACTAAATAAGTGCAAGAAATTACACTCCAGTCATGAAAATTTCCCCCAGCTGGTCTTCTGCTTTGAAAAATAAATCTTGAAAAGAATTTTGCTTTCTAATTGAATGAAAACTAGTGGGGAAAAATAGGCACAATACTTCTGCGTTCTACAAAGTAGAAATGAAGTATTGTGACTTTCCCCAGCCTTTCTCATCTAAAAGGGGCCCTGACATTGATTTGAGCAGATCCATTCCATTTCCTTACATCTCTTCCTGCTGGACCTTCACTTGCTCAGGGTGAAGATAACCAGAATTAATTAGCAATAGATCAGATGGAATCAGCTTCTCTGGAACAAATCTTGTCAGTTTCAGCAAAAGCAACAGTCTTGATGCAAACATGGAAACTGCAGAGATCTATTCAGATCTATTCAGATCCAATCTCTTCTTAAAAGCTTCCAGTGTTGGAGCATTCACCGCTTCTGGAGGCAGGTTGTTCCACTGGTTAATTGTTCTAACAGTCAGGAAGTTTCTCCTTAGTTCTAGGTTGCTTCTCTCCTTGATCCGTTTCCATCCGTTGCTTCTCGTCCTGCCTTCAGGCGCTTTGGAGAATAGCTTGACTCCCTCTTCTTTGGGGCAGCCCCTGAGATATTGGAAGACTGCTATCATGTCCCCCCTGGTCCTTCTCTTCATTAAACTAGACAAACCCAATTCCAGCAGCCGTTCCTTATATGCTTTAGCCTCCAGTCCCCTTATCATCTTTGTTGCTCTTCTCTGTACTCTTTCTAGAGTCTCAACATCTTTTTTTACATCGCGGTGACCGAAACTGGATGCAGTATTCCAAGTGTGGCCTTACCAAGGCCTTGTAAAGTGGTATTAACACTTCACGTGATCTTGATTCTATCCCTCTGTTAATGCAGCCCAGCACTGTGTTGGCTTTTTTGGCAGCTGCAGCACACGGCTGGCTCCTATTTAAGGGATCGTCCACTAGGACTCCGAGGTCCCTCTCACAGTTACTACTATTGAGCAAGGTGCCACCTATACCACAGGTCGGCAACCTGCGGCTCCGGAGCCGCATGTGGCTCTTTGAGCCTTCCCCCTGTGGCTCCCAGCCTCCTCTGCCATTTGCAGAGAGAGATAAGAGACAGAGAGAGGCACTTGCACTTCCCTGCTTCTCTCTCTCTCTCTCTCTCTCTCTCTCTCTGTGTGTGTGTGTGTGTGTGTGTGTGTGTGTGTATGTATATATATATATATAAAAGAGAGTGGACTCACAGTGTTCTCCCACAAGCTGAGAAGCTTACTCCTGCCTTGGCTGCGTCTCTGCAGGAAGCAGGAAACAGGAAGCAGGAAGGGCAGGAGAGAGCTAGTTAGCCCAGCTATGCTGACTCAGGAATTCTGGGAATTGAAGTCCATGAGTCATAAAAGAGCCCAGGTTGGCTACCCCTGAGCTTGTTGGAGAACAGCTTGAAGCCAGCTTGCCAGATGAGCAGAAGATGGAGAGAGGGAGGGGGGGGGAGAGAGGGAGAGAAAGAGAGAGAGAAAGAGAGAGAGAGAGAGAGAGAGAGAGAGAGAGAGAGGGAGAGGGAGGGAGAGACAGAGAGACCCCTTTGACATCTAAAATGAAGATAACACTGCATATATCCTTTTTTTCCTTTATGATATATAAAAGTGTTTGGTTTTTCTTACCTAACTGTAGAACCTTACTTTTTTCACCATTGAATTTCATTTTGTTAAGATTAATTTGATAACAATTAAAAGAGGCTCCTTAGATACTTTACTTACTTTCAAAGAAGTTTGCCAAAGCATATATACATATTCCCCTTTACATCTGTGCATATTTGTATCTCCTTTCGAGATGAGCTAGATTATTTAATACTAACACAATGAGTTGGTTTGTAAAGTATTTGTGTTAACAATGTTTAAAATGCCAAAAAGATTTCAGCCTTCCAAATATTTTTTTTTTCCTTTAGGAAAAATAAAAACAAAACCTTCTATAGTAACCAGAAATACTTTATTATAAAATCTGCATGTAAACAAGTAACAAACATTTAAAGAAAGTGCAAATCAACTTTCAAAAATTGTAATTTATATATTTTTTTCTTTTCTCCATCCAACGACCTCTTTGAAGTCCACCCACCCTCCACCCGCATTTAACTTCTAAAAAATAATTGCTTATATATAGATCTATCTCCTGGGCCACCTTTGGTTAAGTCACTTTGGGCCAGCAATCATGAGATACACTTTGAGGTCCCATTCTGGAGACACAGCCAGTTTCCTTGAGCATCTCTCCATCCATCCGTGGCACTTGGAGATACAATCTCCAAAACCACAGCTAAAATGAAGCAGCCTGTCTGCTTCCATCGGGTAAAGACGACCAATTTCGCTGCTTCATTTCAATGCAGTGATTTGCTTAAATCACCTTGGAACTGAATCTTCTCATTGAAATGCAGACACACACACACACCCTACCCACCCACCAAAGAGAAGCGTGTACGAGCCTGCGCACACTGTTCAAGTTTTGCTTGGCCAAGGAGATACGTTTATGGCGATAGTTATTTTACTCCGCTTCTTTTCCGTATCGCCGTGCATTTCTTTTTCTTTGATTCCCTGATATCCACAGGACAGCTAAGCAATTTTACACAGTGAAACCAAAGGGGTTACAAAGCTGCTGATTTATTTTTATTTTTTTTTTTTATTTTTTTTAGGAATCAGTTCGTTTGCTGAAGGCTAGAAACCGTTCTAACAATGAAGGTCCTGTAATCTCATTTTCCAACGTCGCGTAAGAACTGTAAGGCATGAAGGAAGCAACTTCCCTCCATTCCGTCGCTTTGCACAAGGTCCTTTTTCCTCACTCTTAACTGCCAGAGACAGGTTCACAACACACCCACACACACTCACATACTTCTCCTTTTGCCATGAGCCATTTTTTTTTTTTAAAGTACTGATAAGTCGTGGCAGGACTTTGATTTGGCTTTAAATGCCATCTTCTTATTGTTTTTGGCCACCATTTTCCCAAGGAATCGCTTGGCCTTCTTACTGATGCTTTCTCTCCTCTTTGTGTTGGCCATTCTTCGGGCGTTGTCTTCTTTGCTGTCTTTGCGTAGCCGAATCTGCCGGACAATCCCTTCGAAGAGGTCTTTGACGTTGTGATGAAGTGCGGCTGAGGTCTCGATAAACTTGCAGTCGAAGACAACAGCACAAGCCCGTCCCTCTGAGGGGTGGAAGAGAGAGACGGCCAAGATTAGTTCAACTGTGCAGAATCAACACAACACAAGCTCTGCTTCGGAATTTGGATGGGAACAGATCATTAGGTTAAGAGTTGGAAGCTGGAGGACAGGAGATTGTGCAAGTGTGGGCATGAAGAAGAAAGGGTATCTCAGGTCAAGCAGGTTCCCAAAGTAGACCAAGATTGTCTTATCAGCAGGACAATGGAATGAATGCAGATACTCTACTGCTTTCTTGCAGCTGTATCTCAATGTTGGGGCACCTGTTTTCCATGAGGTTCAATCTCCAGAAAGAGAACTGTACAGCTATGGCCATTCAGTACTGACAATCCCAGATTAGAGGTCAATGTAAGCTTATTAGCTACATTTGGGGAGGGGTGCTCGGGCCTTTTCTGCTGTGGGGCCCACTTTGTGGAAGTAAGGCTGCCTTCATCATTTTTGAGGTCCCTCAAAACCTAGTAGTGCTATCAGGCATGGAGACCCCAGAGAACGGGTGAATTATGGAAGTGGCTCCGCTTATTAACGTCTATTTGCTACATGTCTTCTTTTTAAGCTTTGTCAGTTATAACTCTTTAATGTTTTTAGAATGATGGTTCTACTACAGGTAGTAAGTCCTTGACTTTCAACAGTTCACTTAGTGACCATTGAAAGTTACAACAGACCTGAACAAAACTGACTTACGACCATTTTTCACACTTAACAACTGTTGCGGTACCCTCATGGTGCTGTAATCAAAATTCAGACGCTTGGCAACTGACTCCTATTTATGATAGCTGCCGTGTCCCAGGGTTTGTGTGCTCACTTCTGACAAGCAAAGTCAGTGGGGGAAGGCAGTTTCACTTAACTGTGTTACTAACTCAACAACTGCAGCGAGTCATTTAAAAATGGGGCAATAGAAGTCAAAGCTCACTTAACAACTATCTCACTTAGCAAGAGAAATTTTGGGCTCATTTGTAGTCATAAATCAAGGATTACCTATATTAGTTTAACTTTTTTTTTTTAGCCTCAAACAACACACTTATTTGTGAAATGGGTTCTTATCTATAGTTGACAAATAAATGGTTGTAAATTACTGTAAGGTGACCTGTTAGACTCCTAGCCCAACAAAAAAAGGCCATTCATCCTGGCCTGTGTAGCTTTCCCCATCCTGGTGCTCTTGGTTGGGTTACAAGACTCATAATGGCCAGCCAGGATGACCTACGGCACAAGCAGCTAGTAAAATCGAGACAAGGCAGTTAAGATTATTTTCTAGCGACAAAATGTTTCCCAGCCACGGAGAAGCTGTGCTTCAAAAGGTTCATGGTTCAGCTCTCCACTATCACTCAAAGGCACATTATGAGTTGGAAACAGATAGCAACCATCCTCGTGGCTGATAAGCAATTCCATTGTTTACTGCTCTTAACACACAAACGCACACAGAGGTTTTTCCCAACTTGTGCTTTCCTCCCACCCCATAAATCCACAGGCCTACAATATTTAGATAAGGAAAAAAAGATTGTTTTTTTAACTGACCAAAGAATTGTTTCACGCTAGATCACTCTACGCTGGATCATTGTTTTTGCTGAAAATTATAAACCAAGATATTACATCTATAATGCCATATTGAATGCGTACGTTATTGATTTTTACAGGTGAATTTTACAGAGATGAATTGGACTCCAAAGAGATCACCTTATCTTTTGAGCAACTTGTTCCAGGTTCTGCCATTATTGGGAAGAGTTAAAGAAATGTTTGGATGATTTGCTAACATAATACAAGTTATCCTCGGCTTATGGGCCACAATTGAGCCCAACAATTCTATTGCTAAGCAAGGCAGTTCTTGAGTGAGTTTTGCTCAGTTGTACGACCTTTTTTTTGCCACAGCTCTTAACCGAATCCTGGCAGTTCTTAAATGAATCGTGCAGTCATTAAGCCAATCTGACTTTGCTCATCGGAAGCTGACAGGGAAGGTTACAAGTTGTGATCACATGACACACACCCCCAGGACAGTGCAACTCTCATAAATACATGTCAGTTGCCAAGTACTCAACTTTGGGTCATGTAACTGTGGGTGCCGTGGTCATAAGTGTGAAAACTGGTCCCAAGTCTCTTTTTTTCAGTGCCATTGTAACTTCAAAGGGTCACTAAATGAATGTTGTAAGTCAAGGACTACCTGTAGTCAGTATCATTGAATCAAGTCATTATCTACCAACGTTGATAGTCACCAACGTATGACTCACTCCCTATCAATGGAAACATGCTCAGTTGATCGGTTCGGTTCAGTTTATGGTAGAATAACATCTCACCATCTACAGAGACTTCCCGTGATCGGACCAGGTCACTTTTGTTTCCAACAAGAATGATAGGAATGTCTTCGGTTTGCCGTGCCCTTCGTAGCTGGATCCTCAGCTCAGAAGCTTTTTCAAAGCTGACTTTATCAGTCACTGAATAGACGATAATGTAAGCATCTCCCATCTTCATACAATGGTTCTGAAGCCACTGGCTTTCATCCTAAGGTTAAAAAAAATAGAAATATGAACATTGGTAGCCAGTTTGGTCTAGTGGTTAAAATGCCAGGCTAGAAAACAAGAGACCATGAGTTCAAGTCATGCCTTAGCCATGAAACCCAACTGGGTGATTTTGGACCAACTCATCACACAGGCTTGTTGCTGTGGGGAAAATAGGAGGAGAAATTGTGCTGGATAGGTTCACCTCCTTGGGTTATTTGTAAAAATAATAAAAGGCAGGATATATATCTATATATAAATATTATCAACCTTTCAACTCCCTAATGAAATATATTCTTGTAGGTCAACTTTTTTTCAGGGCAGTTCATGGTAGCGGTTGTAACTTGTTAGGTTTTATGGTTCCACTATTGCCTTTCTAGAATTTCAAATTCTATCTTGCAAACTACACAGAAAATGTATGGAAATGTAATTAACAAATAAGCTTGTTTGTATGGATTGTAGGAAAATAAGCCATTTTTTGCTTGTAGCACATAAAAGGTATTCCTGCAGTCCACACAGATTCACAAGTGTTCTATGCAAGGGGGGGGGATCAAAAAAGTCAATATGGCAACACAGCCATGTGATTGGAGCCCTACCTTTTTAATCTCTTGCTTAGAGAACATGTTGCTGAAAGAAAAGACCCATGTTGGGCCATACAATATTTTAAAAAATCTAGAATCTCTCTTTCTGCTTGGCTACAATCTTATATCCTCTTACCTAAGAGTAAGCTCTCCTGAACTCCGTGGGCCTTATTGTTTGAGTAAGCCTACACAGGACTGTCTTTAAGACTGAAAAAAATTACTCCCAAATTGTGTTTAAAAAAACCCCCTCATAAGATTAAAGTCCAATCTGTAATATTTAAAAGGTAAAACAATCTGCATTTTAAGCAAATGCTGACCTGCTAGCACGTATTAAAATGCATTCACGCAGGCTGCAGTTTTAACAGGATTTATCTTGGGGTATTCCCCATGAACTTAATAATGATTGCTTCAGAGTAAGCATGCATTGGGCTGGATTTCAAATGATTGTTGTTCTGTTCTAAAGATTGATCATGTGTTAACACAGATGGGGAAGTAGATCAGTGAAGGAATCAGATTGGAAACCAAGCTTAAGCAAGACTTGAAGATGGATCAGCAAGAATCCAGATCCTAATCTCATATTTATTCAATTTCTGTAGCCACCCATCTGAACAAAGATGGGCAGTTTCATTATAACTAAAAATAAACCTTAGCCTGTTTATATTTAATTTTGGACATGTTCAAGCCCAAATTCACACATAGTGGGAGGGTCCACATATTTAGTAGCTAAACCTAAAACAAACCTAAGACAAACAGTGATTTCATATGAAATCAGCCCAAATCACTAACCTTCCACACAAGATGATAGATTAAAAATGCTATTAGCTATGAAAAGGGAGATCACTGCAGATAATTGTAAATAAAATATTTGAAAAAGTAAATCTTTACCTGCTCCCATATGTCAAACACCACAAGAGAAGCTTCTTCTCCATCAACTATAATAGATCTGTCATACGTATTGCCTGAAAGACAAATCAAGGAGAATTTAGGACAAAATGTTTAGTTTACACAAAGGAAAAGTAATATTCTATCATGAAAAACAAAATCCAG